ATTAATGGGGATAACAATACACATTAGACATCCTATTCAGTAGCATTTTTAGTACCCTGCTGAGTCGAAATATAAACTATAATGGCATATGGAGACTGTCTTAAGAGCCATTTCAAATCAATTTAGTTTTATGTAGCGTCTCTCGAAGCATCTCAAGGTGATTTACACTGAGAAAGAAAATAGTGGGCTAGTGATTTAGTAGAATAATGCATGGCAGCTGTCAGGCAGTGAGGCAAAAATGATGCATGGGAATGCAAAACTCTGATTTAAAAGCAGTACAAAGGTAAACATATATCTGCTCTTCCAAGTACAAGAAGCAGCCATGTAAGGAAGGCAGGCTGCGTTCAGTTTAACTCATCTGGTCAATGAGGCACTGAGAGCTTTTCCCTTTACAGACAGAACTGGAACCTAAACCTGAAACGCTCCCACTCAACTGTTGAGATTAGGAAAAGCCAGGAAAGAAATATTTGTGACCAATTCATTTTAGCAGTTTTACCATCATATTTCACAACCTCAGAAATTTTAGACTTCCTGTGGGTTGGACTTTTGCCCTGACAGGCTTATTAAGTCAAGAAGGCAGCTTTAAGTGCCTTTTTCATGGAAACTGTTAAAGCCTCTCTTGAAGAAGCAAGACTTGAGTCAAGAAACCTTGACCTTGTCAGTGTGGCAACTATTGTGATGCTCCTGTTAAGCAAAAGCAGCTTGCAGGTGGAGTTTCCTTCAGATCACAGCACTGAAGTGGCATATGCCTCATTGGGTCTCTTCCTCCTAATGGAGAAGGCCCTCTCACTGGTGCTTGTCCCTACACAGCCCCTGAGGTGCAGTCAGCTCACAGGTGGAACTCCTCAGAGAAGCAGGATAATAATTGCTCAGAGTGTGTTTCAAGGATGGGGGGGTGAAGTGTCTTCAGCTACAGGACACCTCTTCCAAGGGTTTTCACTGCCTTGCTCATCATCCAAAGCGAAGCCGCTAAGGAAACCATGAAAACGCTTGTATTTTGGTATCCTCAGTGTGAAAATTACATGTTTTCCTTACATTTTCCTTCTATAAAATAGTTCAGAATGGCCTGTTGGGTATGAATGCTTCAACAAACTTTGGGCAAGAGAGAGGGAATAATAGTGTCTTCCTAGATGAGGACCTGAGTACATAGACTCATAGAACAGTTGGGAGGTACCTTTAAAGATCGTCTGGTCCAACCTTTCATGGGAAAGGGAGCCTAGATGATATTATCTGGCACCTCATCCAATAACATCTTTAAAACCTCCAGTGATGAGGACTCTACTGCATCCCTCTGGAGGTTGCTCCTACATGCCACTTCTTCAAGAGGCCTAACCCATCTGTTTCCTTTCTATGTGCTGGAACACATTCAGAATCTGTCATGTAGGCCAGGGAGATGGTGGGAGCCTGACCCACTCATGCCACCTCTGCTGTCAACCACAACAGAAGCCTGCCAGACCGCTTCTCAACTTCCCCAGCGAGCATGCAGGGGCTGCTCAGGGTGTTAAAGCTGTGAAAAGCCTGAATTGTGATTACTTGGCAAAGTGCAACCCCCTCGACTAAGCGCTTGTGTAGTGGCTGCAGGACTGATGCTGACTGTTCTCATGCAGAGCTCTCCACGTGGCACTTCACTGCTCCCATAGATATGTCTACTTATGGAACAGTGGAGCACCACCTTGCAGACAGTGGTTGCCTGAGTCACACCAGGCTCTAAGTACTGGTGTGATGTCTATTCATTTGGGAAAGTGTTCTCCCTTCTGCTGTGCAAGTAGTATATGTTTTATTAAATAAAGCACATGTTCCCTATGCAAATGAACGCACACTAGGAGGAGGATATAGTGACACGTTCTATGTTAAATATGCATGACATTTAAAACTCTAAGCAAGAAGGAAAAATCATGTATAAATATTAAAGAGCACAAAGTCTACTTTTTTGCTTTCATTTTGCTTCTGATCCTGCACTCTGGGAAAAATACTCCTCACATTCTGAGACTGAATTATCTGTCCAAGAACTAAACCTATAATTTTATTCTATCAGTCAAGCTGGATGTCACACTATTTTTATATGAAGACAATCAGGTTCTTTGAAGCACAGACACACCTACTTAAAAGGAGCATTCCCTTGAAAGGAGAAGACTTTGGAATCAGGAGTAATTTGTATCTTTCAAGAGACTGATAACTAAATGGAGAAATGCATCTCCTAATGAAAAGGTTTCTTTGCTGTCCATTAGCACACTTGGATGCAGATTCATCCCTTTAGACTGCAAGCGTCTAACTTGGCTTCGAATCACTGAAATCTAATGGCTTAAAATGTGTCGTTTGGAAACTCTTGTTTCTCTTTCTTGTCAAGAAAGGACATGAGGCCACCTGAACTCCTAACCTCAGTACCTGAGTTAGGTATCTAAAAGGAAATTAAATTAATCCAGGCCTTCCTCTAGTTCTTTTTGTTGTGTGGGAGACCTGTTAGAAAATCTAGCATTCAACCCATTCCTATGGCGCAGTTAACTTCACCTCTAGTTTTCTTTGCATTTTCTGCTACAAAGGGCTTAAACGTTCCTCTGGGAAGAAGCAGAAGATTTCCATTAATAAAAAAATGTGCAGCAAATGGAGAAGCCTATCTTTGTGTTCCCTTCTGCCCAAAGATGTCAATAACTTGCAAATACCAGAAAAATTTCAGAACAGAATATAAATATCCTGTCCCATTTTACATACTTAGAAAACATAGAATCCAAACTGCTTTGTGTTGGAAAGGACTCTAAAGCTCCTCCAGGTCCAACCCCTGCTACGGGCAGGGACCCCTTCCACTGGAGCAGCTTGCTCCAAGCCCCTGTGTCCAACCTGGCCTTGAACACTGCCAGGGATGGGGCAGCCACAGCTTCTCTGGGCACCCTGTGCCAGCGCCTCAGCACCCTCACAGGGAAGAGCTTCTGCCTAAGAGCTCAGCTCAGTCTCCCCTCGGGCAGGTTCAAGCCATTCCCCTTGGCCTGTCCCTACAGGCCCTTGTCCCAAGCCCCTCTCCAGGTTTCCTGCAGCCCCTTTAGGCACTGGAGCTGCTCTAAGGTCTCCCCTTCAGGAGCCTTCTCTTCTCCAGGCTGACCCAGTCCAGCTCTCTCAGCCTGGCTCCAGAGCAGAGCTGCTCCAGCCCTCACAGCATCTCCATGGCCTCCTCTGGATATTCTCAAGCAGGTCTATGTCCCTGTCATGTTGGGAGCCCCAGAGCTGAACACAGTAAAACCAGGTATGCTGATCAAATATGAAGTCCAGAGCATGGCAGGAAATGGAAACTCTAGCTCTGGAGTCCTAGTGGTTTCCCTTTCTGTAACACCGCCATCATTTCTTGATGAAGAAAAACTCTTCTTCACTGCACATTCTAGTCCATGTACTTCTGCTGCACCACAGATGGCAGGAGGGCCATGGGACATCAGTGAAGGGATTTGGTATATGGAACCCTGCACCAAGACCAGCTGAAATGAAGCAGTACTAACCTTCTCTTACTTCACTAGTTCTGATACCAGCAAAATGCTCTCTCCTTTTCCAGATGGGAACTGGAGCAGTGGGAAATGTTTTCCCTCAGTATTTGCCCCTCATTCCTCTGTTGACAGAAATGACAAATGGTCATTTCAGTGGATTTAAAAAGCAGTGGAACTTCATGCCCCTAATGAATGGGCAGCAGGAACTCATACTGGCAGTGCTTGATGGCTGCACATGAAACTAGCCAGGCTCAGTAAACGAAACCAGATCCCCAAATGCAGCCTGAGATAAGTGAAAGTATGCATTGAAATTTATTGTAGGAAAATGACTGACTGGAAAAAGAGTGGTCTGCACCTCCAAAACATATTGTACCATTTAAACTCGCGAGAAAGATATCTGCCAAAAATGCAACTAATTCTCCTGAAGGTCAAATGTATTTCTCTTGTAAAACAGTTGAAACAGCAAATGCACTTCTTGATTACTCTTGTGAAAGCAACTTAGAAAAGAATCCTAGGATTGTTCTTGTCGATTGAAGTTGGGACGTTTATGGCTTCCTGGCAATGGCTTTTGTTGCAAAGGTTAAACACAGTCAGCAAATGATCATAACCCCCCCCCCCCAAAAAAAGGGTTAGTTCCAGTGCAGCCTGCCCAAAATTCCCACAGCAGATTTGTAGCTCCTTTTGGGAGTGCCACTGCATGGACGCAACTGCTGCTATAGGCTCCTCTCTGTCCCACAGCCCAGTGGAAACAAGAGTGGGTGATAGCATCTCTCAGCTCCTAACCATGCTGTCAGCCTTGCATGTCCCTGGCTACCCTGGGGCAAACAGTGATGGAGGAGGAGTGGTCATTTTTGTACCAATATACAGTGTCTGCTACCAAAGAGCATTTTTTGCAGATGTTTTCTACACAGCAGTGTAAGAAATGTCACCACCTCCTTGCAGCTGGATAGGAAATAATTGTGGCATCTGTGATAGCAGCTGAGGTCATGACTTGAACCTGCCAGAGGGGAGACTGAGATGAGCTCTTGGGCAGAAGCTCTTCCCTGTGAGGGTGCTGAGGCGCTGGCACAGGGTGCCCAGAGAAGCTGTGGCTGCCCCATCCCTGGCAGTGTTCAAGGCCAGGTTGGACACAGGGGCTTGGAGCAAGCTGCTCTAGTGGAAGGTGTCCCTGCCTGTGGCAGGGGTTGGAACTGGATGAGCTTTAAGGTCTCTTCCAACACAAACCATTCCATGGCTCTATGATTACACCATAGTTGTAGAGCTTTGCACACCCAGAAGAGACCAGAGAAGCTCCTGTTCATCCAGAGATGACTTACCCCCTGGTAAACTCAAGTTCATCCTTAGAAGTCAGTTTCTGGATTGGATTACAGTGTTTTTTTTCTCTGACTGCTTGTATAAGACTTGTAGGTTTTCTCACTGGAGATTGCCACCATAAATTTTAGAAGTCTGGCTTACAAAGCCTATAACAACCTTGTTTAGCAAAGGTGTGCCTTGCAGCATTCCTTCAGTAATGCCACTTTGGCTGCCCCTTACCTCTGGGGTGAGGTATTTCATCATGATTTCCTTTCCTTTCTCTCCCAGCTTTTCATCTGGAGCAATTTCATACTCTGCCTGGAACAGATATAACAAAAAAGAAAGTCAATATTTGCACTCATATTTCACCATTATAACTTCATTTTGGATGTGGCCTTAACGGAATGCTCTGTCTGAAAAATCGGAAGGATAAATACCATTTTCTGATGGAAGTAAAACCAGTACACACCATCCTATTAAAACTTTCCACTATATTTTGACCAAACCTTAGTGGTGCATTTTCTGAGACGATATCACCAATGTAATTTAATTCATTTATATCTTATAGACTTGCCAAGCCAGCTTTCAGAAAGCAGTCAGTGACAAGAGATGGCAACTTTACTGGGGTTTGCTCAAAGGGAAGGTGAACACAGAAGGTAAAATTATTTCTCTGAGTAGTAGAGAAAGGGAGTGGTTGTTAATTCTTGTCACAGATGTAGCATTTCAAGAACCAGGTGAACCCCTTCAGTAGGCTGTCTTCCTAGTTGAGTGTGTTCTTGCTATTTAAGTCTTCCCCTTCATCTAACAATACTTGTGCAAAGCAGAGAGACTTGCCCATCACTTTTAGTGATCCTTGACTCAGTCCCTCCAGAAGGCCGATTTCTTGAGACCAAGGTAGAACAAGAGGCACCATTTAGAACAACAGACATTATAGGCAAAATTCTCTTTTACTTCCTTGGTGCATTACAAAAGAGAGCATCACATTCCCCTACACAAAGTTTACCTACATTTCAAATTCTGACTATTCTATGTACTGTAGCATACCTGACTTTTAATGAGTTTCAGGACAGTGTTTACATAAGAAACAAAAGAAGCATTACTCGTGCACCATGAAGGCATTAATCACTGCAGTTGGAGTTCTGGATCCATGGCAGGCATTCAAAGGAAACACACATGCCGCATGGGACCTCAGCGGCTAAATGACAACGACAAGTTCTTAGAGACGTTCCCACTTGGCATTGCTCAGGATATGAAGCCTTAGGAACCAATAAAAAAACCCCAAACCCCCCAGATGAAGACTGCCTATCAGCTTTCATGACTGCATTAAAAGAAAGCTCCCAGAAACCCCTGCCAAACCAATTAAGTAACGTGGTCCAATACAAGCTGTCTGCGATGATAAATGAGGAGGAAGTTAAAATAAAAAGAAGGTAAATCAGACTGAACTGGCAAACACTAGGAAGAACAAATATCAGAACTATTACCTACTGGAAGATGTATGTCCTGCTCCAAGCTTGATGCAATAAATCCAAAGGCAGGCTGTAATGGATACCCTAGCTAAACAGACCCAAGAATGCCATGAAAACCACAATGTGGTAATACTGCTATTACCCATCTATCTGGCCAGTACTCACGGAGCTATTGCAGCTTAAGTCTGGAGCTACGTATTACACACATACATAGCAGGTTGCTTGAACAATCTAGAATTATGATCTGATTTGGTTTGGGAAATGACAGTGACCGCAAATAACAGAGAAACCTGTGGTGCTGATGAAAAATACGCCCAAAAGCTAAAATCCACAAGCGCAGTACTTCTCTTTTAGTGACCATTTTGGGGATGTACTGATTACATTCTCATAAAACCTAATACAAGGGTTTAAAAAAAATCTTTCATCCAATTTCCTGTCCTTTTTAGCTGGTACCTGAGTATGGGCCATTTCAGCCCCTAAAGCACAGGCACTCTCAAATATTTACAGCACCTTAACAGCATTTTTCTCCATGATTGCTTGCTATGTGATAAAGCAACGGCAATAGTAACAGAGGGACCAATTTCATTAAAGGTGAAAGTTGCATCTCATTCGGACCTTACAGTTTAGGGTTGGGCTCATAGGAAAACCAGATGCTTTTCATAGAAAATAAAACAGAGATAATATATTTCAGTAAAAGAAAACAACTGTACTTAAATGTAACTGGCTGTGCAGAACCCTGCACAGAAAGGAGAACTTCTTGGCACTGCCTCATCATGGAAGCATCTAGGAGATCCGAGTCCTCCATTCAATGCTACTTACAGTTTAGTCATTAATGACCATTTTTCTCTCCTTCATTTGCTTTTAGATTCTGGATCTTAGTAACATATTGGCTCCCTTGTAACTAAAACTTGATTCAAAGTCATCATCTGCCACTTGAAGTGCGCCAGGGGGATGTCAAAAACGTTATGCCTTTTTCGCCACAGACACCCCATCCCAATCATACATCAGGAAGCAAATTGGACAGACCACAAGACAGAAGTTTAGCAGGAATTGGATCAGTGTTTTGCAATGCAGTTCCTGATGGGATCCAAACATATGCAGACCTAAATGCACACACACACATATATGTACAGAGTACCTAACTCCCTCTCAAGATAGTTGGGAAAGAAGAAAAGGAAAGTTGAATTATACTCGCATCTGACATTCTCAGAAAATGCAACACTGTGGTGGTGAAGGTAGGAAGTGACAGACAAGTGGGGATGTGAGAAAGAACCATAAGCTCCAACTGTGAACAGTGCGGATTTCACTGTAGCTCAAGTACTAGAAGCCAATTCCGTTTTGTTTCTGAGTTCATCATTATTTCTCCCTTCAGTGCCACCTTTGAGCTATTCAGCAACAGATTCTGGTACTTTTTCAGCCATGGGCTGTCATTACAGGAAGAATTGCCCATGTAGACAGGCAGAGTGACTTCCCCATGCTCACTCTCCCACAGGCCTGGGAAGCATACCAAGGTCCTCAAATCTCAGTCTTGTGCTTAAATCACAAGATACATCCCCTTCTTCCACAATACCAAAAGCATGGCTACAGTTTGCATATCCCTAATTGCTAGAAATAACATCGTTACTTAAAATCCATGTGGAACAAAATATTTTCCATTATTCCTTTGATGAATCCAGGCATGTGTTTCAAAGCTCCTGCTCTGAAGTCTAATAGCTTCTCCATGCCCTAGTTAGGTCAGACAGGGCCCTATTCATAGCTCATAAATGAGGGGAGGATTTACGATCACCCTGACTGTATGGGACGAGCTGCAGGGAAGGTTCCTTCTGTGGGCAGGCACGGATCCTTCAGTCCAAATGGCAAGAGGATGTGGGCTGGCTGCTGTTTGTTGCTAACTTTCCTTTTGGCTGCTGTTTCAGAGGCAGTAGTTACTTCAGTGGCTCCTGCTTCCCTAGAAGCAACCCTGGCTGAATGGGGGCACAGGGGTGTGAAGCATCCTTCGCTTTGGAGTAGCCACGCTTGGGATGGGCTGAGTGAGAATGGATGGAAAACACACTTCCACTGGGAAAAGGACCGAGATCTAGTCTGTGATTGGTTGCAGGCTCAGGGATGGCTCAGGAAGAGGTCTGGATGTTGGAGGTTGCCTGTGACCAATGGAGAGCATCACTAGGGAAATGGCACTGGGACACAGCAGGGGCTTGTACCAGCAGCCTTAATTCTGACACATCGTTTTATCTAGTGCTTGGCTTTCCTCTTAATACTCCTTGAGCTCCTGAAACTGTGGCCTAAAAACATGTGAAAACTGAAAACTGGAGCCAGAGGGATCTCTCTGCAGATCCGGGAGGACTCTTTCGCACAGCAGGCAGGTGCTGGTTGCCTGTGGGAGCATGGCATGCCAACAGGAGTTGGTCCCTTCTACCTCCCAGGAGGTGGAGATGGGAACAGACACTCCCACCAACGCATTTTGGGCTTCTTGGTATAAATCAGTGCAGTGGAGTCAGGTTCTGAGCATCTCCAGGAGGCTTCTGGCGTTTTGTCCCCAATTTTACACCTCCGCTTTCTCAGCTCTGTTATTCCCAGCATCTCTCTCTGCTCCAGCTCCTGCCTACTCCTTCCTTGGACTCCAGGCTCTGCCCTCTTGCTGCTCTGTGCTCCAGCCATTGCCCTTGCACTTGCCTCCACTGGAGATTTAAAATCTGTGACTGAAGATTGGAAAGCAAAATGCAAACAGCTGGAATTCATAATAACTCACATTTCTAAACGAAAAGTGAACTTGAAACCACATTTTTCATATTTAAACGCAGGGCAGAAAGAGCCCTTTTGACTGTTTAAAAACATGTTTTGAGTTAATGAGTTTGTTGATATCAACAAACTGGCATTTCTGATGGAAAAAGCCTTGAACAGCTTTAAGACGCACATACACAGATGGTTTATGTACCATGTAAAGGACTTAACCAAACGAAATCTCCCTAACAGCAAGACAGGGTTTTTACAAATGGCATTAAATGGATGCTTCATCCTTCTACCCCGGATAGGTGCAATGTTGAGTGATGCATTCAGCTGAAAAGTCCACCCGAGGAGATTGTGCCTCTCACCTCCCAGCCCTATGCCTGGATAGCACAAGCAGAAACAACCTGAAGAGGGGCTAATTTCCCCCAGAGGATGCATTTCTGTGTGACTTTAGTGCAAAGAAATAACATCATACAGGTTAGAGACAAAACCTTGACAAGAAACAGCCACATTCTCCTTCAGTCCCTCTAAATCTGGTCCACATTAAAATCTTAAAAGCCCTTGACTGGAAAAAAATAATAACACAAAATTATGAGTGTGAGTAGATGAAGCAGGAAAGGGAGTCCAGAAGCTGAAGTCTTCATTATAACGGCACACAAAAATCACAGGAGAGAAGGTGCAAACGTCAGGAGCTGGCACCCCAGGAATGTGCTGTTGAGAAGGGGACAGGGGCGAGAAGGTGCTGAATTGCCGCCTTCTTGTGCTGAAGGCATGGGCTGTGGGGAAGGAAATGCGTCTCGCTAGCAGATTCCCTGCTCACTGATCTGCCTTTCAGCACAGGAAACATATCCCCTAACACTTTATTTTAAGGGCTGTCTTTCAACAGCTCCGAAGCTGCATGATGTCGCCAAAATATTTGTGAGTACAGCAGAGCATGCTTTAGGGCTGTGCGTGGACTCATAGAATCACAGGATGGTTGGGGTTGGAAGGGACCTTGAAGATCATCCAGTTCCAACTAGGAAAGGGACACCTTTCACTAGAGCAGGTTGCTGCAAGCCCCATCCAACCTGGCCTTGAACACTGCCAGGGATGGGGATTCTTTAACAGCTGTAGGGGAGCTGCTTTAATCATAAACCATCTGCATTTAATGCTAATAGCTTATGTTCATGTAGTTGCTTAATCTGAAAGGCTACTTAAGGGTTTGGTGAATTATTAATGGAAGATCTTTGTGTTCACATATACACAGGTAAGCACTCAATGCATTCAGAGGCACAAGTTGCAGCCATTGGTACTTCCTACTAGGTATTTTATCCAGTCAAGTCAGGACCTCTGTCATGAAGTTGTTTGCAGAATATCCATAAGAGAGAGCCATATCAGCGAGGAGAAAAGGTTGCTGTTGCCCCATTTCCTGGCCAGTCAGCCAAACTGATGGCCACTTACTGGTCCCATAGCAGTGGTGGGAACCAAACATTCGTAGCTCCACCAGTGCTGAACTGCAAAGCTCTGCATCTCTTTGTTCTTACCACTTTTATCATTCAAAGCTGGGGCCTACTGCTTACAAACCACGTATCTTCATAGTCTGTTTTATGGTTGATAGATTGTGGCTCATTACCCAGCCAGTGTTCTCAGAAAACATGTAGAAACTTCCTGCCTCTGAGCACTTTGGTCTCAGTCATGGGCTGAAGCTGGCCAAGGTATTGGCAGGTTTCAGAGGGAACTGACAGAAACCCACCTACATGCATGCAGAATTTAATGATACAAATCCTTTTCCTTCAGAAAGCAGCCCTGTACTGCTTAAATACTGCATTAAAAACTGGGAGGCATGGCTTGTGCCATGCGTGACCTGGTGAAGTCGCTTAGCTGTGCCCTGTGAAAGAGACGTGGTCCTACCTCTTGAATGCACTAAAAGCTCTGTGAGCCTCCCATGAGCAGCTAAATGTTTTCCTCTATCCCTTTTTCTTCTGATCAGTTATTAACACAAATGCTTCAGTTTTGCATCTCACATGAGAAACATAACTAAGTCAAAGGTAAATGGAGGCTCTTGGCTTCTTCTGCTTCGGGCTTGTTACAGCAGGTGGTCTCTAAAAGGTTTCACATTCCTGGTGGTCCCAGAATAGGGCTGTAAAGTCAAACTTCTGGTCTCATTATAGAACGTTTTTGCCTTAATTTTTGCCTAATGTAGAGCTTGGCCTGAATTCCGCCACTCACTCAATGCAGTGTGACCCTGCTGGGCAAGTTTCAGTAGCAATCATCCAATTTAATGGCTATGGGCTTTGCTGCTTGACCTTAATATTGCTTAATGCAGGGATTTTCATGGGCTCAAGGCAAGCTTGTATAGAATTTGAAATCAATAAACAAAAGAGGCTGCTGTTAATTAGTGTTAAAAAGAAGAGAGAAAGCACAAATATTCAGACCTCCACAGAGCCAGGCATTTTGTTAATGAAACCCTTGTAGTGCCAGTCTGAGCCTAACTGGGAAGTGATCACTGGCCTGGTAACAGCCTGCAGGACAGCTCCAGTCTGCAAAAGCAATGCTAGAATGGATGCAAAACACACCCTCGCAAACAGATTTAGGGATACGAGTCTAGGATTGCTTGTAGAAGGAGCTTTAACACAAATCCAGTCCCACCACCAGCTTTAGCAGCTCCAGTGCTGCCTGTGCTGCATGGATGCTGGGAAGAGGACCCGGAGTTGCTTGGCACTGCTCCATGGAGCTTTAGGAGACTGAAATGACACAGTGCCCTCAACTCCTGCAGCCGTCGCTGCTGGGAGAGGCTCGAGGCAAAGGTTATCATGGGGTGACACTGGGGGACACACACAGGAGCGATACGGGGGGGCAGTAATGTTTCCCTTAGCCCAGATGTTATTACCACTGCCAGGTGTGTGCAAGGCTCAGACAATGTGGGCTTGTTCTCTGCAGCCGCTGGGCGCTGCTGGAACCAAAATACGATGCTTGCTGCTGGTGCAAGGAGGCATGAGAGAAGAGCAGAGCCTCGCTGATGCTCTCCAAACCGAGGACAGCTCTGTCTCTTCTGTCTGGAATTAAAACTACTTGGAAGCAGCCTTTTGCGGCTGTCTCCCAAAGGGTTTCTGTGGCTTCCTGGAGAGAGAACCAGCACCCAGCTCCTCAGGGCTGGAGGCATCACACCCTATGTGGCATTTCTGTGGAGATGCCTCCACTCAGATGGGTGTGTTGTGTTCCATCAGTGGCAGATAACTCATGAGAGGATGCTGGGTCAGTACAGGACCAACACATCCAGCATACCTGAAATGTCCTCCTGTCTGCTAGCCTTAAGTATATCTGCCCAGAGTATCTGTCAGACGCAGTAGTTCCATGCGTCTTGATGGCTAAAACTTCCATTAGGGAAAATCACAACCAGTGCTAGGAATATCAGGTAGAAATTGTGACCAGCTACAACTGATTTGAACAGGGCTTTATCTAAAACTTTCTGTGATGCTGTAGATTTGCTGCAGGTACTGCAGCACTAACAAACTTTAAAGCTTTAAGTGACCACATGTCCTCTCCCAGACCTACAATTTCAGCGCAATCCTCACGTCCCCATGTACTTCAGAATAGCGTCACCATGGAGAGGGGCTTTGGACAAGGGTCTGTAGAGACAGGACAAAGGGAATGGCTTGAACCTGCCAGAGGGGGGACTGAGATAAGCTCTTAGGCAGAAGCTCTTCCCTGTGAGGGTGCTGAGGCTCTGGCACAGGGTGCCCATAGAAGCTGTGGCTGCCCCATCCCTGGCAGTGCTCAAGGCCAGGTTGGACACAGGGGCTTGGAGCAAGCTGCTCTAATGAAAGGTGTCCCTGCCTGTGGCAGGGGTTGGAACTGGATGAGCTTTAAGGTCCCTTCCAAACCATTCTGTGATTATGCTATTTCATGGTTTTATTCCTGTGGGTATGCATTGTTTTGCTTTTGACTGCCAGTGTCAGCCAGAGAGCAAAGCCCTCCTCGGGCACTCACACTCAGCACTGACAAGTTCATCTTCCTGGTACAATTTAGCCTTTTGGCTCATCAGCACCCTCCCTTTCTGCAGGCTCCCAGCAAGAAAGCCACTGAGAGACTTCTTCACTGCGAACAGCTTCTCCTGCTGGCATAACACATAGCCAAGTGCTGCCAGACTGGGAAAGAACATCAGATACCCCTGGGTCTGAGGGTGTTGTTCAGTGGCCAGGTTAACCGATAGCTCTCTGGGGTTGAAAAGGGTTTCTTGGTCACTCAAGACCAAGACTCTTGGTCACACTTTCACTCAACCAGGTCACTTCTACACCTTGTGCCTCTGTTTTCCTATTTGAGAAAACAGGGTAACAGTAAAGATGTCCTCTCTAAATCACCCTGCAGCCTACTGATGAAAAGGCTTGGTAAGAGAGGGATATTATATTATCATACTTTTCATCCTCTCTTGTCAGTCCATTCCTAATCTGCCCTTTCTTCCCAGTGCCTCCCAGCACTGCAGGCTTCACCCACATCAAAAGACATTACTTAGAGCATCTCAGCTGCTTGGGTGTTGACACGAAGGGAGGCCATGCTGGGACATCCTTCTCCTGCCTTGTGGCTCATGCCCCCCATGAGCTACAAGGCTGGTACCAATGAGATGCCTCATGAGTGCTGGTAACGACCTCTCAAGCAGCGCTGCACCTCTGCCACCAATGATGCTGGGATGCTGCCGTGGTCCACTGCTTACTAAGGTGCTAGACACAGAGTCCCACGACACAGCCATTTCTTGGGGTCAGGGGAGTCTCCTCTGTTGGAGAGCATTGCAAAGCACCCCAAAATATCACAGGAATTGACTTACCACTGAGTCAAGGAACCTAATGCAGCACTCGAGCTCGGGTCGAGTTTCACAGAACTGCCTGAAGAGAAGCCTTCCGATCGGCTGCTTTTCACATATGCTGCAGTAATCTCTCTCTAGAGGCAATAAAGAGAAGAAGAGAAGCATGAAAATGAGAGGAGCTTTGCCTTTTGGCTTGGTTAGCAGTTTAAAGCATTGCAAGCGAGTGTGAAACAATGTCCCCAAATCAAAACTGCTGCCTTCTCCCCGCCGCACCACGTTTCAGGTATCCAAATACAAACACGATTAATGGCTTGAAGACCCAGACAAGAGAGGCTCAATTTTGTAGAGCTGATGTTGGTACAAGTCCCACAAAAAGCCATTCAGCTATTATGAAAGAATAATTCCACGTTTTTCTGTGGTGGAAATATATGCACTCTGCAAAGGTACCGCTCAGCCTAGTGGTGTTTGTGGGAATGTGGGGAGCAAATTACAAGTCCCTGAAATGTGAGTCATACATTAAAGGGCAGGGAAAGCTGGAATCTGTGGAGACCTTCCTGGATGCCTCCTAGATACGCACTAAAGTACCCCTAATCTCTGGAAATGCTCAACCCACTCTCTACTAAACTATTATTGCAAACTATGTGCTTTCAAAGGTTTCAAAATCTGTGCTATTTACTCGCTGAGCATTAACGAATGGATGGAGCATATGGCATCTAGCTGGTTCTAGTTCACACAGCACTCCTTTACAGAACTCTATTTCCTCTTAAACCCTGTATTTAAATGTCACACAGAAACATCACTCCCAGTAAAGCAAAAGGTCCTTTACTCAACACAGGGACTATCTGCAGGAAAACTTGAGGGAAGGGCAGGCGCCATTAACTGGCATCGCACCAGTACAAATGCCAAGGTCCTTTCCAACCCTAACCATTCAATGATGCTATAATACTTTTCTGGTGAGAGCAGCAAATCCCCAGCCTGTTTGGAGCAGCAGTACTTGCTTGAGACACGTTATTCCTCTAGAAGCACACACATGTCAAACAACATACTGTGTTTCCTTGAGCGTTCCTCTCACCACCCTCCTCGCTGCCATATGGCGCTTGCTGTTATTATGGAAACAACCAGCTCCTAAACACATAACATAGCACTGCAAACAGACATGCAAAACCCACACAAGTTGTCAGTGCCTTGGCTACTTCTCTCTCAGGCCTACAGAGGCTCCTGCAATGCCTTTTATTCCCCCTTTGCTTTGTCCCCCTGCACCATTCAGTTCCATCTGCACCAAGGAGAACTGTGCTGTGATGGAGCCCACCTTTGCCATGGAGGCACCCGGCCAAAGGGCTCGCTCATCACAGGTCAGAAGCTGGGGACCATGTTCTGCAAAACCAGGACATCAATCCTGAATGGAAAACACTGCATGGCATGTTGGCCTTGCTGACCTGTAGCTGGGTGGCAGATGCCAGGAGCACCCAAGGCTGCCTCTTGCAAGAGGAAAGAATGTGCTTGCCCGATGCTGTGCTGTGTGCAGTATAGCTGTACTTCAGGAAACAGCCCCTTGAAGCACCTACAGGGTAGGCACTCAAGACATGGGCTGGGACTAACTGGGCTGCGCTTTTAATTCAGTATGATCCTACTCTGCTCTGTTATTCTGAAGCAGTCTGGAACAACACATCAACACCACTTTGTGGCTGGCATCGCCAGTTCTTTTTGGATCAGGATATCACTCATTCTATCCAGAAAATTGCAGTGCTTTGGTACCCTCCAGCAAATAAAACTGGGTCTAAATCACTGTGTAAATCCTAACTTGACCTCCAGTCTGTCTATCTATCAGCAGTAAGCCCATGGCACTGGTTTGTTTGTCTGAGCTGGAGCCTCCAGTGTGGAACACCATGACACAGACATGTACAGGAGAAAGGCAGCAGGCTCGCCTGGATGCTGAGCAGCCTTGGGGATGTCCTTGTCGATGGTACAAGCTTGTGCTGCTTGACGAAGCAGCTTTTATAGTGAGGAGGTAATTGCTGCAGGGATGGGCAGACACACATAACGCTAAGGTAAGCAACGGAGGAAAGAGCCTGAGTGCATCACAACAGCAGCTCACAATGTCCCACAGGCCAGGACAAAGCCAGAGGCTGAGCAGCTCAGGTGAGCTCTCCTGGGAGGTCTGGAGGTTGAACTACATCTGTCTGATGCTGTTTGCTGCTACCTTGATTAACTCGCTCTTCTGAGGCTATGAATAAAATACACACACTGGATATCGGCAGCACACAGCCTGCTTGATGGCGAGACTCAATCCTTACAGAAGCCCAAAGCCACAGTGAGCTTCCTCATGTTAAACAAGCAGTGCAAAGTATGCAATAGGCTGAATTTGTAACAGGATAAACCACAAAGGAACAAATACATTAATCAGCTACTTTGCCCTATATTTTCTCTATTACAGTGCTATTTGATGCACAGTAGAAAGGCTTGCTGCTCAAAATGCAGTTAGTTTATCAAAGTTGCTATGATATGGTGACACTGTAGTAGAGGATGCTAGAGGGCTAGTGGTATCAGCTAAATAGGCAGGCAAATTGCACACGCAATCCCTGATTTCATAGCGTAGCAGGAAAAGAAAACAAGCAGCTAAACACTATTACATATGTGGCTAAATGAAACATAAAGAAGACACGAGCACAGACTTCCTCCTATGGTGCATAACTTGGCCAACATATGAGAAGGGTGACCTGTTTGTAATGAGGAAAAAGGAAATGCCAGAAATAATCTCTGAAAACACAAGAGCCAGAGCAGTTCCCCGGAGCCATCCACTCCTCAGTCGTGCTCATTTAAGTGCTGGATCTAGCAATACAGACAATAAATACATGATGCAACTGCTTTCATTCCTTCGAGGTGACACAAAGTATTTTGTTAGGCTCTGGTCTTGCTGTTGGCCTCACTAAGTCAGCTAAAGGAGGCTGCTCCCAATTCATTCTTGGGATGCGTGGCCCCTGGAGTTGACTAAGAGAGAAAAACACCTCCCTCAGCTAAAGCAGGGAAAAGGAGCCATAGTTTGTTACAGTAAGGGAAAAGCACAAGTGTTTTAACAGTGTGCTGCACCCCGGAGACCTGGATAAAGCACCCCAAGCTATGCTCACGAGGTGCTGCATGAGGGGAAGGGATGGAGATGCAAGAGGGTACCGCAGCCTAGGGCTCCCTAGGGCTGGGGCTGATGGTCGTGTTGCTCTCGGCCCGCCTGCCAGTACAAATATATCCATCCAGTTTCGAGAGCTTGAAAAATAGAAAGAAAGATTTCCTGAGGAAATGGAAATGTTAAACACTTGGAAGTGAAACCATATGCTCGTGATGATGAAGTGTAACTAAAACAGCTCTGAGAGCTGTATCTTTGGTAGTCGGACCCTCCTGCTGCAGCGTGATCCTGTTTAACACCTGCAAAGTCACCCAAACCAAGGGTGAAAAGCTGCATGGGTCAAAGCTCTAGGAAAGCAGTCACTTCTCACTGCTGCCAAACTCATCATTTCAAAAATACCACTGGCAAATAATGTGCACATGTGAGTTCTTCATCTTCCTAACAGAGTATAGACACAGATCGTTATAGAAAAGATACTATATAAAATGCCATCATAAACATAGAATCATAGAATGGTTTGGGTTGGAAAGGACCTTCAAAGCTCACCTAGCCCACCCCCCTGCAATGAGCAGGGACATGTTCAACTAGATCAGGTTGCTCAGAACCACATCCAGCCTGGCCTTGAATGTCCCCAGGGATAATGTATTCATAAGATAAACAACGTTCATTCTAAATTCTATTGACTCATTTCTCCCTTTACTTCATAGCTTATGTATTGAAGACTACTTCATAGAGCACCCAGCACGCAGAACATAGAATCATAGAATAGTTAGGCTTGGAAAGGACCTTAAGATCATCCAGTTCCAACCCCCCTGCCATGGGCAGGGACACCTCGCTCTAAACCATCTCACTCAAGGCCTCGTCCAACCTGGCCTTGAACACTGCCAGGGATGGAGCATTCACAACCTCTCTGGGCAACCCATTCCAGTGCCTCACCACCCCAACAGGAAAGAATTTCCTCTTTATATCCAATCTAAACTTCCCCTGTTTAAGTTTTAACCCATTACCCCTTGTCCTGTCACTATAGTCCCTAATGAAGAGTCCCTCCCCAGCATCCTTATAGGCCCCCTTCAGATACATACCAAAACAGTTACACCTGCATACAGACAATGCCATCACCAGTCAAAGTCTATGGCCAAATTTGTTCCTTGGCAGATACTCTGGTAAGGTTCTGAAAAAGGTCTAAGCACACACCCAGGAAAACCAGTCCTATTAATAACATTTCACACTGACCAAAACATGTCACTGATGAAGTGAAAAACACTAAACAGGGTAATAAAACTGCTGACAATGAAATCCTTGACTTTCATGCAAAAGGGAAAAAAATGAGTATTTTAATTATCTAAAAAAGCTCCTTGTGCCTTATAAAGATCTTTTTGTCTTCATTTCCCATTTAAAGACATAGCAGGTTTTTCTTCTGGCTCAAAATATCACCTTATCAATTTCTGGAGAGAAACAGTGGTCTGCAGAGAGACCAGGTCCCTCCTCCTGTTTCACATCTGAAGTATCACTATGGGTTCTGGTGGGTTAGTGGTGAGCTACACAACAGGGTGATGACTCTTGGCTGAAACGCAGTCTTTTCTGATATGTTTCACTGCAGGTGTATGGGTGAGACTGCTATGGAAAGCTGTACTTCTGTTTCTGGGTAGAAGCCCTTGTTCTGAAGGGCTGCTAATCCAACACCTGCACACAGCTGGTGAGGCTTCTTCCTGTAGCTGTCTATGGGGAGGGATGAGCTCAGTTTAAATCTCATTTTTCAAGCCTACAAGAGCCAGGAACATCTTTTTGCCTTTTTGGTCACTACTGGTGTGGCCAATGACTGCACTTCGGTACTGACTATTAAATAGATTCTATTTTCCAACATACTGGAATCCCAAGATAAGATATTTCATAGAAATGCATGGAGAACCGCCAGGAAGACATGCACCATGCTGCTGCACAGGAAAATTTGGACTTGGCCTCTGGCTCTCTGCTCTCCTTGGCATTAAATCAGCCTGGATTAAAACTGAGTAAGAT